AGGACAATGGAAACCGGTATCCATTTAAACTCGCTTCCGTGGATATCTTGCGACGATTATTCCATTCGAGACGTGCATACGTGATGCTTGTTGAATGCGCGCGACGAACGGATTCGCGTGCGTACGTCGACTTTGATCGTCGACGTTCCCCATTCAGCCGGACACTGTCATCGCGGGAATAACGTTTCAGCCGGCTTCCTCGATCGTTCGTGGCTCGGCTAGCGTATAGGTCGGGGATTCACCGGCTGAAACGGTCTCACGACGAATTGATAATGATACGAAGAAGAATTCGTCTAACGATATCCGTTTATTAAAAAATAAGGAAAGTATTATCGGCGAAAATACTTAGCATATAATTACCAGAAACGAAATCAGAGATGGAGCAGGAGAAAAAAGAGACAGTATCTAAATATGAGGAAGTGAATGGTGAAACGCGGCGGACGGATAGAAACACGCTTCTTTCCTTCCTCGTTCGATAAACACCGACGGAACGACGACGGTAGATATAGGGAGGCGGATGAAGAGCGTGTTTCAAGAGGGAAATTAAAAATGTAAGAAAATCGATACGCTGCCGCTGGTGGTGGTCCCGCGTACGTTTTTTCACGTAGAACGCGACATTCTCGTCGACGAACGAGACGGCGGACCGACCGGTTGGTCTGGCGTTCGTCGACGACGAGAGCAGGGTAGGCGGTGGGTGGCATGAACGGAGGGAACGGGGGATTTACCGAAGTATCGATTCGCGATATTAAGTTTCTTCTTGACCCTGGAACAAACCTATCCATTTACCGTGCCCGCGGCTCCCCGGCGAGCGTACTATGGCGGAAGTGGCCGGTGGGGAGGCAGTCGGGCACCGGAAGTTATATCGGTACTCAGGGCATGTACACAAATCATTGACGAATGACTGTCGCGTGTTTCGAAAGCGTAGAAACGCCGTGAGACCGTTCGATCATTTTAAACACCGTGGACAGACTTATTTTCGATTAATTAGTGTCAGAACTCCGGGAATGAATGCCCGCTTCCGGTGATTGTTGATCAGACGCGCCGGGCACAGGAAAAGTATGTTTTCTTCTCTGTCGTTTCTGCCGAAGGTAATTTCCTTTTATTTTATCTGGCATTCCGTGCGAATGAATTCTTCAATCAATCAATTTCTGTAACATTTGTTGTATACGTCGATTTGCAATTATTCTTGTTGCCGAAGTCGATCACTGTTTCATGTTTTAAGTTATCAGTTTTAAAGTAATCCAATAGTTGAATTATAATCTTTTATTATAGAATGTTGGTAATTATAAGATGTTAGTACTTATAGGATTTTGGTAGTATTTTATAGTTTCATTTACTAGATCTAAGAAGCATATTTTCCAATTTTATATAATACTTTATATGATACTCTGCTGTCAGATTGAAATGGCTTCTAACAACTTTCATATAAAGTAATAAGCATTTTGTTTTTATTTAAAGGCTACAAAAGAGTTTATAGAAGCAGTGAACAAGTGTCGGGCAGGCAGGAGAGCCGGTCCAGTGTCCTGGAGCACAGCAGTGAAATTCTTAACAGCTAGGAAGTTCGAGGTTGCTAGGGCATTAGCTCTCTATGAACAGCACGAAGCTACCAGGAGAAGAGAAGGTCTAGCACTCCTGTATCCTACTCAGGAACCCTTGCTCAGTGAATTACGCACAGGAAAATTTACAGTTCTAGTAAGGAGATAGATTCAGTTAACAGAGAAATCTGGCAATCTCTTTTTCATTACATGCTCATGACTCAACTGTCCCGCTGTGCATTCCATTTCAGCCATCTAGGGACGCGACAGGGGCAGCCATAGCCATTTTCACAGCGCATTTACACCTTCCTCAGAACACTACGCATCAAACAACCCTGCAAGTGAGTAATCTATAATCACGTTAACAGCGTATCCCTTATGTTCATGCAAATTAGACCGGTGACAGAGAGTTTACAATTCCCATTTAGTGTTGGCGAACACAATGCACTTCAATACTGAATAATAAGGGATGATGCAACAAGTTGATGCTTAATGGCTGCATTGTGACAAGACGTCTCTAACAATGGAACTTTCTCTGTTGCATCGCAGGGCGTTGTGTATCAATTGGACGCGGCACTCGAAAGCGCGGAGACCCAGAAGCATGGTCTGGTCTTCATATACGATATGTCGGACAGCAAGTACCAGAATTTCGATTACGATCTGTCACAGAAGATTCTCACCCTCTTGAAGGTGAGTAGAGGCGCACACGTACAACGGTTAACGGCTTCGCTCGTCACGATTATATAATTTAGTAATTTTAACTCACTCACTATACGAAAACGGCTGTCGAAGACCGAATAAATAATCGTATTAATATTCTAAACGAAAATATTGGAAGAATAGGTAGAATGGCGCCACGAAAATTCATCAAATCGCACACTCGTCCGCCGTCCGCCATCGTTTTCATGTCGTTCACGGATTCACTGTCCGGATTTGACAGAGCCTCGTGAAACAAAAGGGGCTTTGTCGTCACCAATTGATCGCTCCAAATATGGCCCATTATCTTTACACAGGAAATTTAATCAGCATCTTTGGCTTTTATTCTGACTAGCGAACGAAATCAGGACGCGTAACCGCACGCGTGCCGTTGGAGCACGACAGAGCTCCGTGCAATACACGGAAATGTAGAAATCGTCGCGGAAAACGAAACACTTTTTAGCGTGCTGCACGCGACTGGTTCGCATCGCTTCGCAATTTCAATTTATTTGAACCTCACGGTCCCGAAATACGAATTGATCGTTTCTACAAATATCGCGCGTGCATCGTCGAACGATAATCCGAGTGGTATTCTTCCCTCGAATCACGCGAATCCAGTGGGGAAGGTTTCATGAACGCGATTCCCCGGAACTTTTGCTCCTTTCTGAAAGAAAAATTCGATCCGCGTTCAACCCCCGAGATCCCTCTCGAGGACACCCGGTATAATGGAGGGTTACGGTACGTAAAGTAATTCCGGAGCGTCTCGCGCATGGAGGGGTGCGTCTCAAAGAACAGGAAAGCTTTAAGGGGTTGTTCACGCTCGACGAAAACCTCGGGCTGCAATTGCCCAGTGAACCGAGCCGGCAATGGGCTCGCCAAGGGTTTGTCACAAAGGTTTCGCCGGAATGACTCAATTACGGGGTACTTATGGCGAACTATTTATAACGAGGTGTTTGCGTCACCGTGCACACCGTGATAAAGATACTGTCTTCGTTTAGCCGGTTGTTTACCAGGAAGCTCGTGGATCGTGCTGAAACCGTATGCCCGCGGACACACCGTCCGCGGAAAGGGAAACTCGACGCCCGCCGTCGCGACGTAACGCCTATTGGCGCTTTCCATTCGGATAATAGCCTACCGATAATCTTTCGGTTCCGCTCTATTATTCGCGTTTATGCGGCACGATCCGCAACTTCACCGGCATTGAAACTCCGCTCTTTTCACCGGCTGCCCGATTGATGAATTGCTTCGAATCCTTGTTTGTTTGACCGATTCGAAGCAAAACTTCAGCTGTCCGAAGTTTCAACTGGCAATAAGACTTTAATTAAGGGGATCGCCAGTTTAGTGGCTGTTCAAGTGGTTCTGGGCGTTCATGGCCAGACACTGCCCGGAATGTGTTGGAATGGCTCCTAAATCGTTTACACAACTAGTGAGCTTATAAGTAAACTTGTTCTTGGTGGTTTCGCCTCGTTAGATTTCGTTCGACTGTTCTGTTTTTCGATGAGCGTATACTTGCAAGTATTGCCAACTTTTCGAGAAACCGATCTCAGGAAAAACTGAAACGAAACTCCTTTTCCAATCATCCTCGCAATCTCTCATCCGTCGCACGCACGACCAAAAAAAGAAACTTACCTCGATTTCTCCATAGGCCGCACTTTGCACATGATTCCTAAGCACCGGCTATATAAAGACCACCGTTGATCATCATAAATCCACGGCGCGTAATCCCAGACATCGACACACGCTACGAAAAAAGCCTGTGCGCCCTTGAAGGAATCAATAAACTCTTTCCAGAGTCAGCAACACGTACGGAGTCTCCTATTTTCGAAAAATCGATTTTTCGACCCCGAGTGCCAGGTGCATGTCGTGTCGTCCCCCTTGAATCTCCTTCGAATAAGCAAGCCAGGGGTTGCTCGGCGTTCGCGCGAGGGGTTAGAACTCGACTCATCCCCGGTCAATCCTCGTTGAGAGTCCCTGCTCGCGATACGTCACCGCACACAGAATCGCACACGCCGAACCCCGGTGGGCAGAAAGAAATTTTGCATAAGGGATGTCCGTAGCGAGCGGTGGTGGTGACGGCGGTGGCGGCGGTGGCGGCGGCGATGGTGGCGAAAAGAAGGGGTCGGTGCGGCGCGCATGCGTCCGTACGCGGCAGAACGTCGCGACGCTCGCGGTCAGTAATCATCGTGACCCCTTTGCGGCGTTATCGCGGACGGATCGAGAGAACGAAGTCGCACGAACGATTTCTTTTTCGCCTGGTCGCGGCTCGTCCTCTTTTTCGGGCCGCAGTTTCACCGCGTTCCGAGCTGCCTCGCGAGCCAACTTGGACTCTGTTAGCTGCGATGTTCCACGACTCGTGGAGCTTGCTTACCGTTCGATCCGTGTCAAGCGTGCGAACACGGTTACGCTAATTTTCGCGGTATCGATTGACTGACCGAGTGCCGGCAGTGACTTTTCGATCGCATCGTGCCCGTCATTCCCTCTGTCACTCCGGTGACGATAAATCGTGACTCAGAGACTAGCAAACACCGTTGGGACTAGTGTCATCGTGGGTATCCGACTTGGACCTGACCGAATCACCGCTCGGGTCAGTCGGACGTGATCGATGCCCGATCAAAGAATACTCGGTCCTGGTGCGTCTCCGCACTGTTCACGGTAAACGAACACTCTAATCTATCGATTGACCGTTTCCTAGGCCGCTATCTACCCGACTGACCGTATCTCTCTGCCTCCTGTTGATGTATCCGATTTTAATTTGTTACGCGGTCGCCGGAGAACTGGAATTA